ATTTTTTTGGGAAACCCGGGAAATTTGGGTTGGGGTTTGGGACGGGTTTCTTTTTTTTTTTTTTTTCCCCGGGGGTTTGGGGACCAGTAAATATCCCTTTTTTCCCCGGGGGGGGGGAAAAACTGAGGAACCTCCGGGAAAACCCCGGTTTCCCCCCCCCCCCCGGGGGGGACATATAAGACCTCATGCCCCCCCTCGCCGGCCTGCCTGAGTATCTTTAAGGCACGAGTGTCGGGTGCGTTCCGAAGAGTCCGAATGGGATGTGCCCTGGAGCAGACCGGGGTTTGCGCAAGCGGGCTGTGGGGTAGTTGTACTGTCGCTGCCGCGTTTCCTTTCTTTCCCCCCTGGTGGTCCCCCCCCCCCCCGCCCCCCCCCCTTGGTCCGGTGAGAACCCGGTGTGCTCCGTCCCGGCTTTGTAGGGATGCGAGGTCAATGGTCTAACGACTAAGGCATGCACGAGTATGAGTACCCCCCCCTCCCCCCCACCCACCCGTCTCTCAGCTCGAGCAAGGACGTCGACATCACGTACGCACCGGCACTTACGGGTCCCATTCCCTCCGAGCGGCCGGACCCGTCCAAGCCGCACCCGCGGCTCGGGGTGGGGCAGATCATGTCGTGGAGCGTGGACGGGAGGTACCTGGCCACGCGCAACGACAACATGGCGTCGGCGCTGTGGGTGTGGGACACAGAAGACCTGTCGCTGTCCTCCGTGGTCGTGCAGGTAAATTTTGGCACTATTGTACGCATACCGGCGTAGGTGTCATGACGTAAGATATCACACACCCCTGGACCGATTTTCACAGTAAGCTCCAAACGGTTTTTCGTATTGTGGAAATATGTTGGATACAACGTTCAATCGGGGGAAGTTGGGTTAGGGAATAGGGTCTGTGTCCCCCCTCCCTGTTCCATTTCCTCATTATCTTGCTAATCGCGCGAAGGCGGTCAGATTTCAAAGCTCGGTTGCTCCAAGACGAAGAGGGTGTCTATATCGAAATCGATGTTTTCAGGAAGCTCTCTCTCTCGACGAGAAGGCTCCAACGCCGCGCGTGCTTTCGGTACGGCCGCTCTATCTGGCTGTGGAATAATCGAGCGTTGCAGATTGGGTGGAAGGGGGGAGGGGGGGGG